TACTAAGCACCTTACTGTTCTTAGCTGCAGCCATCTCATTCATAGTGTTGCACTTGACCCGTTTCAACTGTTCGATCATAGTGGGCGACACCCGATCCTCCAAGCTTCCATGGATGTGGTGGGGCCTGTATGCCTGGCACACGCACAGGAGTTGGGAGGGAAGGGCCGGCGTTAGACTGCGTTAGAGTCTATGTGCACTTGCCGATACTTGCCCAGCAGGCCTCATGCAAGCTCCCCAGAATCTTCCGGCAGTTGGTGTCCACATCACAGGATGTGATTGTCTTGACTGTTCCAGGATTCTTGAACTCATTGGGAAACATGTGTCGCACCAAACCTTGGTCGGCTGTTTGTCTCGCGGGGAAAAAGTAAAATTGACATTATGGTCACTGGCAGATTGACTGTTGGAAGTGATGGCAATGACAGTATGTGACAATCCGACTAGCCAGTCAGCCAGGGCCAGTGGCTCGTTTATTGAGGTTCTCACTGGTCATGTGCTGATGCTGCATGTGCAAGGTGAATGAGGCTGTTCCCATCCCGCTGTAGCTGTCAAAAACATGGATGTCCCTGTCCAAAAGTTTCTTGAAGCGAGCCAAATTGTTTGAAGCCTGGGGGTGGTCTTTCAACAGCATGGAGGCATTGAACTCTGGCCACCTGAACAGGTCCTCAAGAGAAGCTGGCCCATCTGGCCATCCATAGCTGTTTACCTGGCACACATCACATGACATCCCAGTTGTTGTACATTGTAGTGACCAGTGACTGTAGTTAACACTTGACACGAGCACGGCCAGTAGCAACTACACTTGGAGCAACACAACACACTCCTGACTGACACTGTGTCCAAACAGAAGGAGCCTTGGCAATCAACTGGGAGACATTCACGATGCCCTCATCGTCACAATCCATACCAACAGCTTCCTCCTTCAGTTCCGGCAGATCCCGAGCCGTAGCTTCAGCCTGATGATTCTGATCTCCCTGCAAGTCATCCGCCTTGGAGTGGCCAGGACGAGCCAATAGGCCATCAAGATTGCCCCAACAAACACCAACAACAGCCATACTGCCACACATACGGAAATCACAACTCACAACTCACAAACAAATAAAAGGTTTTCCCACTCGCAGACTGACTGACAAACTTTAGCCACTCTCACACATTTAGAACAGTGACCATTGTAATTGGGATTGGTGAAGAGGAGGAGGAACTAGATGAAACAGAACTGCCTGAGGTGGACTGGGATGTGCTCACCATGCCTGTAGTCCTGGAGCTAGACTCCGCTTGGCCATCACCGTCAGCCATCTAGGATGAGGAGTCAAAATGCTCAAAGAAACATTCAGAAGTCTGCTGAACCCTGAGCCAAACTTCCGCTCTTAGACAGCAAAGACTCTCAAACAAGTAAAAGTTCCGGATCTCATCGACTCTTCCTAGATCATGAGATCATATTGAAACCGAACCATCCGGTTGCTTGAACCGGAACTTTATGTTTTGGCAAGTGTTTTGGCAGACACGGGGCGGACGTGCATGGGTGTGGCCGGGAAAAGTTAAAGTTACTTTTCTGCCGGAACTTTAAGTTTTGGCGGACACGGATGCGCACGGGTGTGGTCGGGGAAAAAGTTAAAGTTCCTTTTCTGCCGGAACTTTAAGTTTTGGCGGACACGGACGCGCACGGGTGTGGCCGGGAAAAAGTTAAAGTTCCTTTTCTGCCGGAACTTTAAGTTTTGGTTGACACGGACGCGCACGGGTGTGGCCGGGAAAAAGTTAAAGTTCCTTTTCTGCCGGAACTTTAAGTTTTGGCGGACACGGACGCGCACGGGTGTGGCCGGGAAAAAGTTAAAGTTCCTTTTCTGCCGGAACTTTAAGTTTTGGCGAACACGGACGTGCACGGGTGTGGTCGGGGAAAAAGTTAAAGTTCCTTTTCTGCCGGAACTTTAAGTTTTGGCGGACAAGGACGCGCACGGGTGTGGTCGGGGAAAAGTGAGCACATTCGGGAAGCTGAGGGGCTCAACCCTTGGCCAAACCTGTCCAAAGAGTTAATTTACCCAAAAAAAGTTAAAGTTCCTTTTCAAAAGGAACTTTAACTTAAGTGCCCAGGTTAGCGGGTATATTTTAAGTTTTTCCATAGGTTTTCTAGGTCAAAAAACTTGACTTCTGCCCGCCAAAAACAGGTTTGACGGGTACTTTTGTTCTTTTTGGACTTCCAAAATGAATGGAAAAAGATAAAACTTACCCGCTACAATGGGAACTTAAGTTAAAGTTCCTTTTGAAAAGGAACTTTAACTTTTTTCAGGGATTTTATTTTTTTTGAAGACTAGTTCCAAGGTTCAGCAAGCACCGGACCTCCTAGAGCCTACATTCATACTGCCCATGCCCTGAAACAAGATTCCAAACTCCCAAACATGACATGTTGCTGTGTGTCCACTTACAAGAGTCCACAAGCTTAATCCCATCACACTAACACTAAAACAGGCACGATGTGTGGAACATGGCTCTTGCTACAGTGACAATGGCCAGTGGCCAGCATCCTTTCTCACACGTCCACTGCACGGTCTCAAGCGTACATGGTCTTTAAACTGCAATGAAGCAACAAATCCAAAATTGAGCAGGACTTGTTGTCGACCCCTGTGCATTCCCCTATATGCACAAAACACACAATCACAATCATGCCACTAGGCTTGCAGCCCTTGGCACTTGGCACTGGGATGGAACTGCCGGAACTGCTAGGTCGCTACAGTAGGCATTAGGCATTCACTGGTTGTCACGCGGAGGAACACGATGAGGTGCTGTTTGACATCGGAAGTAGTTGGCAAGGAAACCTGAAGCCCTGCGCGGGACTGGCCCCCAAACAATCCTATCCGTTGATGTGGTAGTGCTCACCCTCAGTCTCATTGGGGCCGGGTTGGATCCTCTGGTTTGCGACACATGTACAGCAAGTCTATCGCCATCATCCATCTCTACTGCTACATTAGCCTCTGGTCCTGCTGGTCCGGTAGTGGCCATAGCAGTTGCTGAAGGCCCACCATTTGCAGCTGGCCGCTGCCCAGTAGTAGCCACAGCAGTCCCTCGTAGCACACCATTCGCAGCTGCCGCGTTAGTAGCCCCAGGAGTCGCTGGAGGGCCACCATTCGCAGTAGCAGGAGCCTCTGCCCTTTCCGTCTCCCGCCTCGTAGGAGAAGGACTGTTTGCTGTATCGGAGTCTGAACTTTGAAATGCACATAGGGGGATGGCAGTGCCAAAGCTGTAGTGCATGTTGTCCAAACACATTGAGAGGGACAAAACGCATGGATGACTGGACAAAGTCCCCCTGATTTGAAGAAATCGACTAAGGTTGGCAAACTTGTACTTCACTGATTCGAAGAAACCATGTGTTGGGCATCTTGCTGGGCGCTCCAGGTTTAGAGGAGGAAGGGTGACCCTTGCAGGATCCACCATGAAGGTGTAGTGCACAATGTTGTTTGATCCAAGGTTTACATCCATGTGCAGGACAGGCATGGTGAATCGGCACCTGCCTTGGCCCTGCAACACTTTCACCATGTTGTGAAAAGACTGTTCTACACCAGCCACAAAGTCTTCCACGTGAGGTTGCCCCACGGAAGAACCAAATTCTCGCACCATACGGTTGGCGCCAGTAATCATGGAAGCAAACTAAAGATACCAGGAAAGTGTCACGGGCCGGGCCGGGCTGAGTCTAATAATGAATGAAATCTGTGCCAACTGGCTGCACACTATCATATGAATCATATGCTTTAGTCAAGCATCAAGCCATGTCAATGTCCACAAAACAATATGGACGGATAACAATATGGAGTATATATTGAATATTGAAACGGGCTTTCATGCAGTCTCCAAAAAGAGGTTCTGATTCTGAACCAACATCATCTCAATTACCTTTGGCCTTTGCCTCTAAACCTTAACCAAACATATAACACAGTACAGCAAGAACTGCAATGTGCCTGTGCCTGCCCGGGCTTTTATTCCCCACTGGACCGGACCGCACCCCATGAAGACAGTAGTCAGGTGCCACTGCCCGTCCGATTCCCCAAAGCTGCCATCTTGGAAGTCAAAGAAATCTCCAGCTCTTCTCTGGTCGGCAGGGCTTCCAAAGACGGCAACACCTTCAGCTGGCTGGAGCAGTAGCATGAAATGGCAGGTTGGTTGAAGTTGACAAACCAGAAACAAACAGCACCAGAGGCAGTGCACCAAGAACATAAGCCAAACCAATTTGAGCTCATCAAGGTTAGGCGCCACAGAGTGTACGTGTCTTGCTCTGAGGTGTTCATCTGTCTCGCTTGGTGCTTTGACCATGTCTACGCCTGACAAGGCTGCACAAACAAGAGCATTTGTTGAGTTCAATCATTCAATCTGAAGTCGCTTGACACTTGACACTAGGAAAAAGTTGTGGTTGCTGCCTACTTGTCGGGCGCTTGCGCCTTGCAAAAGCCAATAGATCAACTGCCGAATCACTTGATCATCATCACCCTTGCTCAACTGTTTTGAGCAGCTGCGCATCCCAGTCCCGTGCCAGGGGCACTTGACATAAAATGATCGCACCTGATGAAAGGGAAAAATCGAACCAACAGCGACAGCAACGGAAGTTTTTTGGTATCAAAGCTGAGCTGACTGAGGTTGAGTAGTAGTGAATAGAAGAATTTCAAGAATACTAAAGAAACTATACCCTGTCATATTTGTTCTAAATTGAGGACTAGGACTAAGGACGTAGTCAGATATGTTACAACATGTTACAACCAGTAAGCACACACACACACACCGACAAAAAGATCAATCCTGAATCAATTCTGAATCCTGATTTTGATTCATGATCACCCTCCCCACCCTCCCTGGCCTTTTGATCGCCCCGCTGAATGATTGGAATATTGCAAATCCAAACAGTAGATGGATTCCAAAGAGAGGACACTCCCCTCGGCGGGCGGGCAACAATATCACCAGCGGAACCCCCGCCGACATTGCCCTCACTACGGGCAGGAGTTTGCGCCGGGTTCGGAGTTGCCACTGGCTTCTCCGTCCTTGGCTCTTGAATGCACTTCTTCTCAGGCTTCAATCTCTTCTGACGCTTTGTGGCAGGGGCAGGCTTGGAAACATCTGGTGTCACTGCCTGAGCATGGTCAGGTTGAACAGGTGTTGGCAGCTCACTTACTACTACTTGTTCTTGCCCAGGCCGGGGCCCTTGCTCTTCCAAATCCGGTCTTGGGACCGGGACCCGTGAGACATGACTGCCAAGACTACCGCCACCTTGATGATCCCCATGACTGTCATGTTCGGACTCTGACTGAGATTCCAAGGGAAGCTCAGACTCAGCATCCAGGGATGAGCTAGAGGAAGCAGTTTGCAACAATCTTGGTTCAGTGGACGGCGGAACCTGTGGAGTGTCCAGGGCTGCATCAGCGGTACACTCTCCACGCCCAGGCACAGCAAGTCCTGCACAAGCCGCTAACTGCCAACTGCCCTACGGAAATACACATAGGAGAAGGAAGGACGGCTGACACAGAAAGTAAAGAAACAATCAGCACTCAGACTCTCACTTCCACTCCACCAAGCCAAATCCATGCTGTAATAATGGAATTCTATGAATTCTACTAGTCTCGCCAGCTCGCCGCGCCTGGCTCATCATCTTGAAGAGCAGGCGGTGCTCGACGCTGTTTGCTTTTGATTCCATGTTGCTGCTGCTTGAACAGCTTGATCAAATTGGAATAAAAAGACTTTGTTTGCCAAGGCAAAACGGCATTCAACTCAGAAGCACCTACTGCTGCGAGCAGCGCACTATAGTAAGATACAGGCTGACCATGGTGAATGCGCTCTAAACCCTCAGCAAACAGTTCCTCAGCCAGGACGAGCACCAAGAGGTACCGATAGTTTGAGGCCTTGTGGTAATACCAGGTTTTCTGTTTGTTCCCATCACGCTCATAAGGCTTCAGTTTCCGACTGGGCTTCTGGTATTCATGTGTCCATCCAGTACTGTTCAACTCCAAAATCAACTCAAATTCAGATAATTTCCGCAGCCGTAGGTCGGAACGCTGAAGCTTCTTCCTGTCACTGCCATCTGGTTTGAACTTTGACAGGAGCTCAGGGCGGCTGTAAGTTTGGCATACAGACAGAGCCTCAGAACCTTGATGGGTGATGTGGAAGACATCGACGTCAGAGCCTTCTTGCTTCCCGACCTTTGCAAACAGCCACGTTGGCAAGTTGTTACAAGTCCAAAAAGCACTGAGTAATGAGGACCAGGTATGGCACAGTACAGTGAACAGTCGAACAGTGCTGTCAGTCTAAGTGTAATGTGCGTTTTCATAATTCTGCTCTGCCTGTGTCGTCAACCTGCCCCTGTTAACTTGTCTCACTCTTCACTCTATGTACCTATATAAATCCCAAGGCCGGCTGACAGCCGACAAGGACATGAACAGTTGCCACCAGTTAAGCGTCCAGTCCAACTGAGATCAAAGCCAGATTCTGCTGCAGCAGGAAATCCAGGCCCACACATTCTGGGTCAACAAAGAAACCTGATTTGTCCCAAAAAGCCGCTGCACCCGCCATAGATAGGAAGAGGTCCAAAGAAACGGTTGGCCTGAGTTGGAGTCAAGAGGTTGGCACATGCACCTGTGTCAGCGTTAGTCCAAAAATACTTACTGTACATCAACGGGTGAATCAACATAGAAAACATGTTTTTTGCTGATTAAGTGGCATTGGTTTGGTTGCATGGTAAGAAACTTCACTGCCGTGCCACACATGCAAACAGTTTGACAGCGTTTGGAAAGGTACATTTGCTAACGAGCATGTTAGCGGCTCTCCTTCTGACACTGCAGTGATGCTGGAAAACCAGTGACTATCAAGGTCAAACTCTATTTGCTTCGGCTTGAAAGGCTGGGCAAGGAAGTCAAAATGAGGCTGATCCCCCAGCAGAGTAATGTAGCTATTGCTGCGTCCATCTATCACTGGCTGAAAGAAAAGAAGATCTTCAAGTTCATCGACAAGCTTGCCTGCATGACAAGCAGGGGCAGGGAATGCCGAATCAACGCCAGCATGGCCAGCAGACCGTTTGCCTACATAGGAGATCACAGCAGGTTGTGGCTTGGCAACAACCAGTTGCCCTTCCATAGCATCGTCTTCAAGAGCAAGAGTAGGAGGGAACAATTCTCCTTAAAGCCGTAAGCTTACCGCACGCACAGGCACAGTGAACAGAACTGGCCAAAAACACAGGCGCAGAACTGGTCTAACAGTCTAACAAGCAGGCAAGACTCGGCGAACGTTGTACTCCTTCGACAATTGCATCAAGGCCAAATTTGCAGTGGATCTCTTCAAAGAGAATATCACTGTTGGTTGCTGGGTGCTAACCTGACAAACCAAACAGACAGCCAGCATTGAGGCTATAACCCTTTGAGTTGGCTAGTCTCTCAAATGACTTTTCTGAATCGCTGAAATCATTGAAAGAATGAACTGAAGAATCAATCAACCATAGACATAGACCATAGATATACACCTTCATGACAATGATAATTACCGTTTGTGACTTGCAACACCTTCGTCAATCGCTCTTTGATTGCAACCAATCTCAAAACCAGGACAGGAAACATAGAGAAGGTAATCCTTCAAAGCTCGTGTCAACGGGCCCCCAGCTCCTGGCTTGGAAGACTGCTTCTCCTGAACGGCCAAAGTGGTCTCAGGCATTTTACTTGCAACCTCTTCAGCAAGTCGTTTGCGAGAACTGTGTTTCACTGCAATGTTGTCCCTGTATATAAGCTTGGCCAGGTCAGAGCTACTCAGCTGGTTGAGCTGCTCGCTTGGCTTCAAGCCAAGAAGGTTCCTGGAACACGCCACACGACATGACATGACATTCATGAGACGGATGCGATCCAAGTCCAAGCATTCATACACATCACCAAAAATATCAGCACTCCTTCTGCTGTATACTAGAGCCTACACTACAGTAATCTGTAGCCATCCAGCATGAAACAAGGCCCCCACCGAACTGCTTGGTAAAAGCCCGCGTGTGTTTCGATTCCCGTCAACTCGGTGGTCACGCTCTTCAACGCCTGACCATGGTTTGGAAGACTCAGAACATGTACGACGGTTGCCAACTCTTTTGCAAACTTTCGCATGTGCATTGCATTTACATTTACAAAATCAATTGGGGTCGAGTCAATCCGCCTCCGGCATTGTTGACCCAATGTGTCTCAACCATTCAAATCGAGTCTCCATGCTGAGATAGGCCACTTGGGCTGCAGGGGCACGTTTGCGGATTCTGTTGACAATGCTGTGGCGGCCTTCCACTGATCTTTCCGCCACTCTGACCTCCAGGCAGCATGGAGATATATAGATGTGGATAATCAAACTGGCCTAGGTCTAGGTACTAGGATTCCAGAAACCAAATGCGAGTGTTGTTGGTGAGGACTCAAACTTCCCTTCATTCAGGCAGGACACCAGTCTGAAGGAACTCACCCAATGCAAAAAATTGGCCGCTGCATCTGAGGAATCAGTGAGAAGATCTTCCAGAAAAAGCGCTCCAGAAGCCAAGCCTTCTACAATTGGCCTGAGTGCTACATCCTTGGCATCCCCATCCAACCCAGCCCACTGAGGACTTAGGAAACGCTGGGCCTGTATATGCCTTGCTCCTGGGCAATCAGGATCTTGGTCGAACAGTTGGAGGCACCGCTTGGCGGTCTTCTGAACCTGTTCATCATCAGGGTATGCCAAACCGCCTCGGCACGTGATGGCACGTGAAATTAAACAATGTAATCTGACCCCAGCACAATGCACAATGGGAAAATGCAAAATCAAGGGCAACATGATTCTCAAAGTAAGATCTTCAGGTCAGCACACAGGTGCCAAGGTAGTTGTTGCCAATGTGCCAACTTCATGAACAATTGTCCTGGCCACGGCATGGACGAACCCTTGCCTGTGGAGAGTGGGGTAACCACTGACCACTGAAAGGTAAAGTAAGACGGGACCGCGTTGGACAAACCTACTATGTTTATCTATGTTTAATGTTTAATACGTGTTTCTTTGTTGTTAGGGGGGCAGTGCATTGGCACTGGCATCAAAATTTCACGACCCTTTTTCTCAAGGGGGGATGGGAGTGGACAGGATCAGCTCCATGCCTGCCCCAAACATCCCAGAACGAGTCAAGGCAGTAGGGAAGAATTGAAGAAGGAGCACTAATTTACAGCGTCCCTGAGTCCCTCCCACGCAAAAAAAAGAAACGACAACAATGACAACAACAACTATTTGATTTGCGTCTATGTTTGGTGACCTGAGGAGTGACCTGTATCACATGGTTGTTTCAAAGCAATCTCATGATTCGAGGACTCAAGCTCTTCCAACACGAAGCGGATGAAGCCAAGGCTCCCCATATCCTGCTAGTTGACTTGGACCAGGTGCTGTGAAGTTCAGCTTGTTTGGCTTGCGGGGCTCTTGAGACATACTGGTTGAACACTGACCGGTATTGCATCATTCGGCAAGCTTGTAGGGACATGGCAACGCCGCAAGCAAGTTCTGGTGCCCTACAAGCTCGGTAAGGACAGTTAACAGCTTCAGTTGGTAGAGCTACTACTTTGCGTCTCTTGCCTGGTATCTTGTGCTCACGAGAGGAATACTGGTGTTGGATGCAAGGACACCTCTCGCTCCAATTGCCCACCACTTCTGCTTCATTTGCCAACTCAGCAACTAAGGCTATGCAAGCCCATTGGTAATCACACTTCATCAGCTCGGAGACTAAGCGCAGTGTGACCTTCGAGCTCTCTTCTGGAATAAACGCTTTTCTTCCCGTACTCGTTGGGCCACCAGTCATATACTTCTCAGCATCCCAACACTCTCTCAACATGCTCTCCAAGGGGAGCACCTTGGACCATGGATCTAAGCAAATACAAGGATTCTTGCACTGACTGCCGACATCGACTAAGACTTGCAGATTGTGGTATGTGTTCCTACATCCAAAACCAGGCAAGGGGCCGCATTGCAGAAATTGGAGACAACATTCCAGCGCAGTCCGTGCAAATCATTTGTGCTCCAATGCTCAACCCATGCTCGCAGCGGGTGGTTCCCAACGCAGGCATCTACAAACCTTTGCCTCCATGTCACTGATGAAAGCAACGTGTCTAGAGCTTGTAGCTGTGGAAGCAGCGACTGCCACCTGCCCCCGCCAACCCCAGCCAGTGAGACCACGCAAACCATGACTAGTACTAGGTGGACATGGACAGGTGCCAGGTGACAAGGCGCCGGACGCAGCAAATATATCAATTAGATTCGATTATAAAATTTAAAATATACAGAATGCACAGAGTTACAGTTACAGAGAGAACCCGCGAACTTGAACCCGCAAAAAAAAATGCTGCAACCTTGACCAGCTACTGAGGGAGCCCCTCCAGAATGGATCCGACAATCCCATCCGCAATGTGCTTCAGGCCAGTCACCAAAAATGAATTCGGGAACATTTTGGAGACATCTGATTCTGAGGCATCGTCTTCAGGTGGCACGACAGAGCACGGCCCGCGAGGCAATGGAGTTTCAAGAAGCTGGCGCTGGTTGCTAGAAGGCCTTCAAGCCAGAGAATCCAAACACAAAACTAAAACATTGTTTACACCCAACTACCCAACCCCCAAGACTGGCCAGACAAGAAAAAGAGATGGCCGGCGGGCCGGCAATCCAAACCAATGGACAAACAGGTTTGAATATACCACCCTTCTGGTTTCTGCTAGTCTGCGACATCAACATATATTACATACATCGACAAGACTTTAGGAGCTCCGTTCTCCGTCACCGTCACCGTCCTGAAAAGTTCTGAGTCGTCATCGTCATCTTCAAGAGGAAGTCGCCCCATATGCTGCAGCACTGGCAGCACTGGTCGTGCGTTTGCAGCGACTACCCTTCCCTGATTCTGGCCCGGCTTGGGTGGAACAGTGGCTAAGTCTTCAGAAACATCGTCGCAAAGTTGCTGGAGATCCACCATAGGTAAACCATGGAGTTTCATTTCAGTGCCTGACCAGCAGACCAGCGACTCGGTCGAAGTTTACGAGCACAGCTTCAGTAGAACAAACAAACTGGTAAGTGAACTCGGTCGGACTTGGAGAAAAAAACGACTCATCATTCACTGGAATCACTGGCCATAATG